TTTATTGTATTTAGGACAGCAGACGTTAGGCTCTACGAAGACCAGACCTCTCTGTTTGGTTGGTGACATACCCTGAGAATATGCAATCCTGGAAATGCATGCATGCTTTTTTTTTTTAAGTGAACAAATAAAGCCTCAGTGGTTACTTTTACTTTTAAAACAAGAAGGGATAAACTATCCTCACTTTTCTATTATCGGTGACATTTAAATCTGCCTACCTTTCCAAACAGCAGTGTTTATGTATGCTGTACCCGGTGTTACCTCAGAGAGCTAATGCTGTGTTTTTAAAAAGTTGCTAAAGGAATTAGGTTAAGTGCCTGCATTTTTCAGCAATGAGTCATTAGTGGTGGTTTAAGGATAAGGATGATAAGGACACTGCAGTCTGGTCCTTATTCTCTGATGCTGGCCAACCTCTGGACTGACCTGCATTTAAATGAACAGATCCTCTTCATTTGTTTTCATCAGTGTTAACACTGTCACTCTGTCCTGGGTTTTCTGGACACCCACACAAGTGACATTTCTGAGAAGAAGCTGTGACCAGTGCTTGGGGTGTGGGGAGGATGGCCCCAGTCTCTGACATATTCTGGTTGCAAAAACCCATCCTTTTCACAGTGGATTATATTACTCAGTCACCAAGAAGAACATTTAAAAGTAAATGCACAGTTCCATTTCTGATTTTCTAGCAATCAGTACAGTACAGTCTCTCATTTCTTGATTCTGCCTTGATCGTTGCCATCATACCATGTTTACATGGCAATAGATATCATGGCATATGCAACTCTCTTTTAGTCAGAGGAAAATTGCTTGGTTTTAACAAAGGAAAAACAACGGAATTGTTATTTCAGCCTAATATTTTTTCAGCTGCTTGAACTGCAGAATCTGTTTGAAGTAGTTTACTTAACCAAGGCTGTCTGCACGCCCTGTTTCTTCTCTGGTAGTAGGTTTGAGGCATCGGTGTTCTGGGCCAAAGATGTGCCTTTGTTCTCCTGCCTCCATGCTTTTGTTTTGTATTTGTGTCTGTCACCTGGGGAGTTCACACCTTCCTTCTGTCTTTGTGTTTGCCACCTGGGGAGTTCACATCTTCCTTTTGAGGCACTTAGAGGCAGTGAGACAGAGATGTGATACCAGCCAGCCTCTCCTTCACCCTTCCTATAGGTCTTCCTGTGGTAGAAAGGCCAAATGACCATGAAGGGAAACCAAAATGGCTACCTTGAGTGAAGGCTAGCCAAAAAGGAGCGTGTGAATATGGGGTAGGCAGCATAGTGACGACAGTCCCTGAGACTTGGGGTCCCATTCTGTCTATGTCAGGTTGAAGGGATATAGGCATTTCCAGTTTATGCAAACATTTTCCATTCTTCTTTGTCCTTGTAAAAAAGACCCCGGCTCTTCCATTTACTCATGTCCAAGAAAACTTTTCACCATAGACTTGCAGTAAGTCAGAAGTTCTTCATGTTGCTTCCCATGGCAAGTAGCTCATAGCACCTAGCGGGTCAGAGACAGACATGGGAGTTTGAGCTGAGCTGGGAATGAAGCAGTGATTCATCGCAGCACTGCACTAAGTCCACCCACTGGGCGACACGGTGTTGCTCGTCCCTGTCAGTGTTTCTTCACAAGGCACATCTAGAGAGTAACCACCATCTCAGCAAGGGAGGTGGGGCGATGATTTCAGGACAGGGTGACAAGGCCTGGGACCATCTCCCTGGAGAAACCCTTTAGAGCAGAGAAATGATTCTCAAAATTTACATTTCTAAATATCCGATTACAAGTAAGCTGTTCTTGGCAAAAATACTACTTCATGGCGGGGGGGGGGGGAACCTACTAACTTGGCCATAGGCCTCCTTTATCTTAGAGTCAGTGATGAAAATAGTTACAGAACTTACTGGTTGTTTTCCCCAACAGACCTCTGTCTGCCTCCCTGCTGAGTTGAGCACCAACCTCTCGCCATTCGGAACTCAGGGACGAACTTGCTCAGGGACGAACTTGCCGGGTTCACTGTACTTTATTTTATGCTCCTTTAAATGCTTTCATTGTTCTGTCTTTTGCTGAGGTCTTGATGAGGTAACATTTCTCGCAGCAACCCAGGCCTTGCTCCTCCCTTCAGCTCTCACATGGAGAGAAATGTGGCGCCCATATGGGAGAAGAGACAAAAAGCCTGGGTTGATATTAAAAACACCACCTTAAACCTTAACTTAATCCAGAGTATTAAAATATCTCAGAAAACGCCTTAAAGCAGCACTTCCTGTGTGTGGTGTATCATCCCCCGAGCAGCATCCGAGACAGTGAAAATGCTTTCTGCTTGCTGGCTTTTGACTTCTGACATGGCTCTGTGATCTCGCACAATGTGTGGCCATCGTATTGTGAGACAGATGGAAAGAGGCAATTCTCATTGCCTCTTCTCTCACACATCCCTTTGTTTACTGTGATAAGTTAAACAGTCCCTTTTTAACTAAATGTGGTAGAAGCATACGTCTTCACTAAGGACTTTTAAATTTTTTAACATCAGACCCTCTGTTTACAAGCTGCTTTTATTTGTTTGTCTTTGAGAACTGTTTCTTGGGAGCAGCTTACTGGTAGCTGAGCCCTGGGGCCTTGTGCACACATTAAGCACACACTTGCTGTGTACCTCAGAACTATGCCTAGTCCAGGATGAGTCAGGTCTGGTTTTCTCTGTCCTTCAACTTGTTGCAAAGTCAAGAAATATCTAAGACCCCGTTTTCTATTGTCTACTAAATAGTAAATGAAAAGGTGTGGGGTTTTGAAGTATTTATTCTGATATCACCAGGCACTGGGATTCCAATATCACCTCGCTTTGATTAGCCTTTCCATGCAGAGCAGTCACTCTGTACTGTGAATTAATGGTCACAGGTCAGCCTCTTTTCTGGCCTGTGAGCCCCTCACAGGAAGAATCCTAGGGCATTTCCCTAGCTCATTCATAATCTCTTACTGAAGGCCAGGCTAGAGATTGTTCTCACTGTGGCAAAGCAGATTTGGGCTCATACCCTCTAATCTAACAAAATAAATAGACATCAAGCAAATAAGTGTTTAGATTGTAATTGAAATAGGCTTCCCACACTGGAGGTGCCCGTGAGCCAGGGGAATAGATTAGTGTGGGTTGAGTAGTGCGGTATGAAAGGACAGAGGTCACTCTGAGGCACATATCTGTGAAGGAGCAAGTGTGATCAGCTGCTGAGGAGCCAGGAATGTGGGGTCTACTGTTTCCGGTTTTCTTATTATAATTATTTTTCTTCCTTTGTACAATGGACAAAACTGAACACAATGCGATCATCTAAAGATCCCGAAGAGTGAGACAGTGAGTCCACACAGAAATGGTGAGGAGTTTACTTTGAAGAGAAGGGAGTGCTGCCTGCATTTGCAGTGGACAGGGAGGAGGGAAATGGCCCCAAGGGCACTCAGGCAAGAGAAGACAGTCCACAGGGTCCTGTTTTCTCAGTGGACAGCATGCAAGCTAGCTGCTAGAGCCAGAGCCTGGAGGTGAGTGGAGGATATTGCTCAGGCAGCCCTATGAAAGATCATTGTCCACCCCACACCCAGAATGCACTCATGTAAAACCGGGGGGGGGGGGGACAGCCTGATGAGCTGACGTAAGGTTCTCTGACCCATAGCTAGGTGTAATTAAAAAAGAGAGAGAAAGAGAGAGAGAGAGAGAGAGAGAGAGAGAGTCAAAGGAGCTTCAATTATTTGCAGTAGCAGGTCAAAAAATGGCAGATAGATCCTAAGTTAGATGAGGGAAGGGGCTTCCGGTGAGAGGGAATTGAGGGAATCGAGGGAGGCAAAATCTGCTGATGCTGGAAACAGCAGCAGGTGAAAACAGCTGGGACGCCGCAGCAAGCTTTGTCATCAGCTGGACTGTGCTGTGTCATCAGCTGGACTGTGTTTTGCCATCAGCTGGTTGGTTGTTTCAGGCCATGGGGGACAAAGCAGTCCCAGTGTTGTCCACTGTGTGTGGCCAGGGCTCAGGAAAGAAGCCACCAGAGATGAGGTTAGTGAGGCTGAGAGAGGGGAGGGGCTGTGCACTTGCGCGGGAAGCCAGGGTGGCCTCTAAGCCTACCCAGGCAGTTGTTGGCAACAGATCGGAGTGAAGTGCATGGTTTGGATGCCACCGTCTTCCCCCAGTGACAAGGTAACAGAAGCCAGCTGGTGAGAGTGAGGCTGGTGATCGTGTCTGGGAAGACAGGCGTCAGGAGGTCTTGGAGTGACACCAGGAGGAAATGAGGCACTTCTGTCACATAGGAACTCAGAGAAGAAGGCCTCCTGAAGAGGGTCCTGGGCGAGCATGTCCCTACACAACAGCCAGAAGACATGGAACTGGGAGATGAGGAAATACTGAGCCAGAGAACGGAAAGGGAGCCAGAAGTAGAAGGGGGGGGGAGGCATAGGGCTGAAGAGATGTACCCCTCGATTAGTAGCACGGTATAGGATGGATCGTGGACCACGTGTATGCGCATGTGTGTGCATGTGAGTGCGTGCATGCATGCCTGTGTGTGTGTGTAAGTATGTTGTATATGCATGTCCGTACTCGTAGGTATGCATGTGTGCATATATGTATGTGTGTGTGCTGTGTGCGTGTTTGTGCACATGGGAGCACACGTGGTGGGCACTAGGGAGAATGCGCTGGGCTCTGCGTCACCACTTACTGACTCGGTTTTGGAGATTTATAGAATTCAGTCATCACCTTGTGGCTACGTGGCCTTGCCATTGCTGATCACTGAAAAATAAGTGAACCTTCTTATGTTTGCTTTTTAAAAAACACCCTTCCATTCCTGCCCATCTTCTTCCCTTTGAAGCTAGCTGTGTTGCAATGGTGTCTATTGAAGCCATCACAGGCTCTGCCATGTCACATTATAGAATGTCATGGTACTTGATGTTTTTGGTGACAGTTTGTTTTAACTTGCAACATTTCTGTTAACATCATTTCCATGTTTTAGACTTTCCAATTCTTCAACGAGAGTTTTCAAGCTATGTTCTTTTACTTCCTGAAGGGTCAAATGATGTGAAAATCCTTCCAGGTCAAGCTGTGTGTCCTACTCCTGGGTGCCGAGGAATAGGCCATATCCGTGGCCCACGTTATGCGGGACACCACAGGTAAAGATTTCTCTTGCTTGCTTAAATCTCCTCAGGGAGGAATGAGAGAGTGTTTATGCAGACCAGCAGCTCTAGGTAGCATCCTATGTGGGTGTCAGCCCCTCCTGCTCCATCTCTGTCCCTTCTGTTCGGCTGAGGCCCTTCCTTGATGAATCCTTCTGTCTGCCCTCTTCTAATGTTCTAGGGTCATGACCGCAGAGGCATTTCTAAGGAGGTGCGAGTCTGCTGTATTAGGGGCTCCCTAAAGTACACCCTCTGCGATGTGCTCACCCTTACCATGCCTTACCCTTGTTCTTAATCACCTCCACACCTGCTGGGTCTTTTCTGCAGAAAATCCCAGACACCCTTTTCCCCTCCTGCTTCCTGTTTACCTTAAGTTCTTTTTTTTCCTCCTTTTTATTCATTTGAAGAACAGAGGATTCTGTTAAAGAATGTAAAATGAGAATGAAATAACTTTCCATGCTTTTAGAATACAGAGTAGATGGCACTTATAAAGGAAATATAAGCGAATAAAAGCATGAATCTTTGCTATTGTTTCTGTCCCCAATAGTTTGTGAAGTTATTATTCCTAGAATGGCCATTCATATTAATGATCTGGTAACATAAATCAAAACTGAAAAGAACCAATGTTAAATTTGCCTAATACAAACATGAACAGTAGGTATAAAGAGAAAGGAATGAGTCCTGTAATGTATGAACCAAGAAAACATTTGCTCACACCAGAAATTTAAAGGCAGTGCAGGAAACCCTTGCTTTTTCAGAGAATGGCAGTCTGGGAAAACAGTGCTCAAGGAAGTTCTAAGGTAACCAATGCAAGAAATCAGTGGTAGAAATCAGTGGTAAACATGTCTTGTGTGCCTGGATACAATGTTATGAGTGTAGAACTGTAGAACACCCATTAAAAAGAAAGAAATCAGGTGCATGCAGATACCTTAGTTGCCTGGTGGGGTCACTGGGGTTTGGGGGTTATAAGTAGAGCTAGAGTTATGGAAATGTCTCATTGCTTTGGGGGAGCAGGGGGAGAAAAACCAATGAAGGATGGAGGGTGGCAAAGAGAACAGAGCAGAATTAAGAGTGGTATCTGAATTGGGTGAGGGTTCTGTTGGTGTTGGAGCCACTTTCTAGACATTATCAGGAGATGTAACTACAGAGAATCTTCACTAGGCTTTGTGTGTGTATGTGTATGTGTGTAGTCTGAGCTGCAAATTCAAATCTGGTCTTCATTCACTCGTTCCTTAACCCCATGAGTCTGTTTTATTTAAATTAATTAAAATTGAATAATATGAATATATCATCTCCCCGTCATAGCCATGTCTCAAGTGCTCAGTGGTGGTCTGTGGCTGCTGTTCTCAACAACATTGTTTAAGACAGTTACTCCACCACAGAGTTCCATTTGCCATACTCAAGGGACTCTCACATAATAGTCTCCCTTTTGGGAAGTGGGGGGAGCAACAGGTTTTTCCTAGTGCTTCTTTTACAACTTGAATCATTATCTCCCAATGTAACCAAGTCACAACCTTGCAACTCGCCCTTTCCACAAAGCTCTCTCCTCCCGTGGAGCTGGGGCTCTGAGCACTTTGGCAGCTTCTTGCCCAGCAGTACCCCTGTTTTCCTCTTCTTCTAAGCTGCCTTGCCAGCATCGCTGCGTGTGTCATTGGCTCACCTTTTCTGGCTGGATTCTGAAGAAGCCAGAGTTCCAATGGGTGTGCTTTCCCTGTTCTAAAAGTGTCTCTAAACCCATATGTCAGAAACTGAGCCTGATTGCTGCTTTTATTTGTGCTGTTTAATCATTAATATGAGAGTGTTTGATGTGATTTATCCATGAAATAGTCTTTCAGGGTTTGATGAACTAGAATAAAAGACTCATAGCTAAACTTTGGGGTAAGTGCAGGGAATCTTATGAAAGAAGGGGGGCGGGGTATATAGAAAGACCTGGAGGGGACAGGAACTCCACAGGAGAGCAGCAGAACCAAAAAATCTGGGCCCAGGTGTCTTTGTAGAGAACAATACTCCAACCAAGGAGCATGCATGGAGAAAACATAGAACCCCTGCACAGATGTAGCCCATGGCAGCTCAGTGTCCAAGTGGGTTCTCTCTAGTAAGGGGAACAGGGACTGTCTCTGACATGATTTCAGTGGCTGGCTCTTTGATAATTTCCCCCTTGGGGGGTGCAGCCTTACCAGGTCACAAAGGAAGACAGTGCAACCAGTCCTAATGAGACCTGATAGCCTAGGGTCAGATGGAAGGGGAGGAGGACCTCCCCTACCAGGGGACTAGGGGAGGAGCATGGAGGAGAAGAGGGAGGGAGGATGGGATTGGGAGGGAAGAGGAAGGGGGCTACAGCTAGGATACAAAGTGAATAAATTGTACTAAATAAATAAATAATGGTGAGTGAAACAGAGAAAAACAAAACAAAACACCATAGATGTATGACTGTAAAAAATGGGACACCTTAGTTAATTTGAAAATATGAGACATTATCCCATCACCCAAACCCAAAAATGCTTGAGGCTGCTCGGGTGTCATGTGGCTATTTGGTTAGATAATGGCTCTTGTCAAGCTGTAGACCTGGTTATGACATAGCAGGGCTTAAATAGCTATGACAAGGTATGCAAGAGCTTCCCAATACCAGGGACTCAGAAATGAAAAACAACAAATATGAAGGCATATTTGAATAAATCCATAATGTAAACAAAAATCTGAACTCACATATGAGCTGTTTTACCTAACAGTGTTTTATAAATAAACGAGACCATGCTGCCCAGTGGGGTTGCGTAGACTGTAGGAAGGCGCTCAGTGTAGAGTAAGACCTCAGGTAATGTAACAAGCTCTGGACATCTCTGCCCTGGCTTTGATCAGTTAATCAACTTACTGCCTATGTGGCCTGAGAAAATATTTAAGTTGTCTTGTAATTAACTGAATAGGTTAGTTGTGTAGTCTCTAGTCTCTGTAGTTTGCTTCCTTGTTCTTTGTATTATGGCGGCCGAAGCCTTGCCCAACTCTAAAAGTTTAAAAGTGCCATTCTTCACTACCTGTCTGTGGTGGTATCTGTTCAGATACTCACATATATCTACACAGTCCATGCACAGCCCGCTAAAAATATTCCATCTCACACTCAAAGGGATTAGGATGAACTTTGTTCCTATAGTCAAATAGACACTTCAGAGCCAACTGTAGCTTAAGCTATTCCTGACAAACTTGAAGGGAAAAAAATCTAATATATTTTAAACAAAGTGTTCTTTCCTCTTGGCATAGATTATTTTTTTTAAACCAAAAGGCATTATTTTACAGTCTTATTCCAAAGGATATTAGGCAATTATTATTATAGTCAAAGAGAAAGGAAAGTAAACAAAAAACAAACCTGCAACCAGTTGCACTCAGAGAGGGTTGTTTTGTTTGTTGTGATGAAATAGCATGACCCAGGAAACTTATAAAAGAAAGTGTTTACTTTGAGCTTACAGTCACCAAGGGTTAGCATGCATGAGGTGAAATGAAAGCATGGTGGTAGGAACAAATGAGAGCCTACATCTTCATCAGAAGTAGAAGGCAGAGAGAGAGACACCTTGGGAATGAATTGAATCTTTTCAAGTTCAAAGCCGTCTTCCAGTGACACACCTCCTCCAACAAGACCACACCTCTTAATCCAGTTCCACCAACTAGGAACCAAGTCTTCAAATATACGAGAAAAGGGAACCACTCTCAGATAAACCACCACAGCCTGTATACAACACCTCCTCTTCTTGCTTCCAAGGTCTGGGGTCTGCCAGGACTGCTGCTTCAACAGTAGGGGTGGTTGGGCTCTGTGTTTGTGAGGGTCTTTCCAGGCAGAAAAAGCACAAAATTAGTGACTGAGGCTTTTACCTATGTGTGTCAGAATTTCTAGTTCTCATATTGGAGGGATGGTATTTTGAAAGAAAGTAAAACAGGTTGTCAGTGTCTCATTTTGTCCAGCTGCTGAGAATTGAGACGTCCAGACAGCACTGAAGACTAATGAAAATGATCTACCATCTTAGCCGTTCAGGCAGCAGACCTCTGCAGGCCCTTTCTAGACAGTTTTCTGTCAGCTTTAGTCTCTTCTTTGTTGAAATAGTCAAGGGGTTAACAATATTCAAGGCTTTTTGGAGTTTCTGTAGAATATGCATAAGCCATTATTTGTAAGAAACTGCATCAGCTCCTATCAGAGAGAAAATGGGACTTTTGGCACACAATTATCTCATGATTTACATTTTATTTGAATGAATTTGCATAATGGATAAAAGAAAGTAGCTGTATGTGTTAACATAGAAAAATTTAAAGGTAGCCATCTTGGGGCTAAAAAATAAAAACTTTTGAGCCAAGATCCAGGGTGAACTACAAGTTGTGTTTTTTCTAAATAAATAGAACAGTCTGAGAGACTTGGTCTACCACTGTGTCATAAAAGGTACAAAGATAATTTATTTGGAATGAATACTTACATTCTTCACAGAGAGAACCATGCAGCCTCAGGATATGGGGACCTCTGGCTCATTACATGTGGGATGCAAGGCACACATGGTTAATGTGTTGCCCAAACACGGGATGACACCTGTCACTCAGAAGTGGGGGTGTCCTGTCCATGAGGTGATTTTGAGTGCCCTTTCTGTATTTAGGTCATAGGTCATCCTCTAGACGGAGTTAGTATGGAGTGACTCTGTAGCTGAAGATGAAATCACTTCAGGTATTTTCTTTGTGTGTGTGTGTATGTGTGTGTGTGTGTGTGTGTGTGTGTGTCTGTGTGCACGTGCATTCACGTGTTCATCTTTAAATTGGCCTGGATGAAATGCCCCCATTGGCTGCTTACACTTTTCACTTACTGTGTGGGACGGATCAGTCTGCCCCACTGTTCTTTGCTTCAGATTTCCATATATCCAATAGATCGCCCCTTGCCATTAAAAAGGAGTTGTCAGCATTTATAAGAAATGTTCTCTCACCTTTTTCATTGTTGAGAAGTTGACTGTCATCCAAACATGTCAGGAAAAAGA